TTATAAAAGATGTCATGAGAGTTTCATCAATCCAGATGGGAAAGTTTGATCGATCTCATCTCTAGTCGGTCCCCATTCACTCATAACATCTATGAGGAACTTTTATCTCTTATCACTAGAGGCCTTTGACAACAATATTGACTCGATAGAGCATAATACCACCTTCCGTGCCTAGATGTCACTGTACAATATTTTGGACACCCTGATATGCTGTGATAAAATGTCTCGCTTGAGTTTTGAGTTAACTCATTTGAATATGACTAGAACCAAAGTCTTTTACAAATAAAAAAAAAAAGGATCTCGAAAGACTCTTAACCGTTGAAGACATCGTTGGAGAGGACGAATAAATCCAAGTACTATTGCTTCCACCATGATTATGGCTATGACACGATGAACTATTATAATTTGAAAGAGTAAATTAAAAAACTTACTTATTGGGGACATCTTGAGAGGTTGGCATCAAGAACACTTACCCTAATCTTAAGCGCCGATAGAAAGATAGATCAATATCATCATACTTTGCGAGAAGATAAGTATCTTGAGCATGTAATATGAAATCAATGTAAATATTTTTTATTATTTACATATGATTACACAAGGATAATATTGATATATTTTCTATAAAAAAAAAGGTTGAAGTCGACTGATATTTCTTTTTGGAAAAAAAATGTCAATAGAAGAGAGAAGTTGATTGTACTACAATTAAAGCATACGATGCTGTAATAGTAGAAGGATATTAAAAAAGCCCTAAATATGATTATGCTAACATGGTCAGTTTCCTAGATGGGATTATCTTTTAACATTTCTATCCTTCGTATGAGGTTGAAGGTTGTCGAGTTCAGCTTCATCCCTAACAACTTTTAACACTTTTTCCCTTACCATCTTGCATTTTTTTTTCGGGGGAGAACTCACGAGGTACTCTTCCTTTTGGAACGCTGTTGCAACAGCCCTGCCTAGCAGCTGTAACTCACTTTCTTAGGTGCTAATGTGTCTCATGTGAGGCTGCAGTTCCAGATAACTTCCAAGTCGTGGAGCTGATCATCCACCACAGAGAAGGGAATAAGCACAGCCACATGTTCGCCGGAAGGCTTGAAACACGAGGACAGACTCGTCGGCCGATTGATGGAAAGCTATCCTTGAAATAGATGTGGCACGAGACGTCCCATCATATACATGTGGTTCGGGACATTTCATCAAGCATTCTTTAATATTTGGAGGTCCCATCATAGATATGTGATCTATCAAATGAAACCTCCTCCTCACAATCTCATATGTGACTATATGTGACTATGAGAGAGATAGATGTGAATTCAAACAATTTTCTTCTAATATATATTAAGTAAAATCCAATTTTTTTTCCCTAACTATTTAAGTATAATTGGACAAATTTTCCAAGGAAGTTGCTTTTTAAAACTTTTTTCAATTTTTTTTAATTTCTAGAATTTGTTAATAATATATTTTTTAATATCCGGAATACTCTTTAACTCGATAGCAACCTACCAACAGATGGGTTAGCAGTTGACTATGCTGCAAGTAAAGCACACAATACTATAATATTGTAAGGATTAGCAATTCTTGAAGCCCTACATTTTACAGAGCAGGAGGGCTTAAGCAAGATTTGGATATGCTATTCTGCTATCTTTACTGTTGCTGTCTTTACTGATTAATATAAATAGATATTTTTGAATAAATCAAAAGCAATTTTCATTTCTTCTACTATCTTTTTCCTTTTTTTCTTAAAGTTCTACAGAAAACCAACACATTCCGCGTTGCTTTACTTGAAAGGATACTCAACTTTTCATGAATGATGAAAAGTATATACAGGAACATTGATGCATAAACCAACTCCGACACACGCACGAAAGAAAACATCTCATTGTTGCTGGTCCATCCTGTTCCGATTTGATTGTGTTACCACACTTATTACTCCTGTCAATCCTATATATGATTAGATATCAAGCCTTTATGAATAAAAGACTACATGCATTATCCGATTTGATAGTGTTACAATGCTTACCTGATAGATCTACTTGCTCTCCGGTTAAAGGTAGTTTTGACGTTGTTAGATACTGCCATGCTGTTTGCATTTTTCGAGGTATTATAGAAACTATTATAGGGCTTGAAAGTTGTATGCATGCGTGTGTTTCTTGACAAAGTTTTTTAAAACAATTTTCTTAAAAAAAAAATCTATTAGCAAATTTATGATGATCATTGTTGAAGAACTAAAAAGAGGTGGATCCATTCGAATTGGCTCTTTGGGGTAGTTTATCAGTAAAATTGAATCCTTATTTAATTCCTCAATATGAATTAAATTTTCTCCTTTGTTATTTCCCAATTAGTTTTTTTTTAAAATATTCTCTATTCAATCCATTGAAAGTGGTCCAATTAAGTCTTGTCGCGAGCTTATGAGCCAAAGAATATTGTTGATTGAATTTAGACGTAGATAGAACACTCAATAATCTCACACGAGAAAGAGAGAGATTTTATGTTAAGATAATGATTACGTAGCTTCAAATTTATTTCTTGAGCTTTAAAATATATATTTTATTCATATAAGTTATGTTGTTTTTGTAATCGGATACACTTATATTTCACTATTATTCTAATTATTTTATGTATAAAACCATATTTTATTTTTACAAAATAAATCAGATCAAATGCGTCACTCACCTAAATGGAAGACCTACACATTCTCAATCATTTTCATTCTCAATTCCACCACCAAATATCCAGAAATACATTATAGTCTAATATATACTAAAATGATTTAAAAAATTTGAAATTTACGATCAAAGAATGGAAATATTTTAGCGGCGGCATCACAAAAATGTTATGACGCTATTTTTTTAGTCACCAAACCATAATATTTTGATCAGAACATGTGTTGTCCGATTAAATATTTTTATCATGTCTCAAAATAATCAGGGAGCAAATATAGCTGACATCATTATTACATCAAAATAATCATGGAGCAAATATCAGCCTTGCTAAACCATTCTCATTGGATGAGATTATTATTGCTCTCAACCAAATGGACCGAACGGGTTCATTGTCTAATTTTACCATGGGTTCTAGAATGAATTAAAAGTCCTGATTCATTAGGTATTAAGTAGCTTTCACAATGATTGTTACATTTTACCTAAAACCCACATGTTGCTCATTCCCAAAAATATCAATGCCACCATGATCATAGATTGTAGACCCTTCACCCTTTGTATCATAATTCGAAAATAATATCTAAGTTCTAGCCAATAGACTTAAGGAAAGACTCCTCTCGTTCTCCTAAAGATTAACTTGGAAAAAAGATTTTGACACATTCTCCCGGGTAGCATCATTCTTACCCTTTGGAAAGGAAATTTTCCATCCAAATTCAGCGATTGGATCTAGGCTTGTATCCTATATCCTTCTTTCTCTTACTTCATTAATGGTAAATTTTCCCTCCTTGGTTTAAAGGGAGGAGGGGTGTGAGACAATGAGAGCCTCTTTCATTCTATCTCTTCATCATTATACAACAAATGTTATCTAGTTTTATTGGATCTTTTATTTCCCGGAGCAAACATACAAAATCAAAGGTATTATTATTTCACTTCTTATATTTGTCAGTGATGTTTTGCTTGCATTTTTGTTTAGCTTTATATCTTATGCTAATATTACTTCCAATTCCTCAACTCTAATCTTCTTCTTCTAATACGGAATAGTAATTTTTTTTAAAGAAAACGGGTGGCTGAGAAATTTATTGTACTACAATTAAAGCACATGATACTGTAATACTGTAATGCTTCAGCTAACATGGTCAATTGTGTAAACGGCTATAAATACGCTCCCTGATTCCTAGATGGTATTGTCTTTAGCATTGCTATCCTTCGCATAAGGCTGAAGGTTGTTAAGCTCAGTTTCATCCCTAACACTTTTTTCCTTACCATCTCATTGCTAAATCACAATTGAATTATATAGTGAGATAGATTTATTTCTTCATTATTAATGGACCATTACTAGGAACACAAGACCGGTCCCCTTCCACGTAACCATCACAGCTAGTCATGGACCACCATCATCAAGAGAGAACCTTATCTGTTAGTCATGGACCACCACGAGGAATACGACCTCAGACTCCGCGATGAAAGAACTTGACCCTGTAGATGGCAATAGGCTCTCGCCACGTCCCGGGTTTAGTTTCCACGTAAAAAACGGAGACTATGGGATTGCAGTCACTTGCTCCAAGTGTGGAGGTTGTGGTTCGCAAGTCTGCAGGCTTTAATCCGAGCGTGTGTGGAGACTACTTTATCATGTGATACCACTTGAGGATATCAGATTAGCTGATAACAAAACGTTCGATGAATAGTATATACGCAGCAGATTTAGATGATCTAATAGTACGTACACCCAGATTTAGATAATCTCTAAATCGTTCAATGAATGGTATGTACACAGCAGATTATCTGATAACAAACCTGACGATTAATAGTAAGGTCATGAAATCAAATCCCGTTTGCTAATGGTGGAAGAAAATAAACCCTATTGGATCTACATTGCTTAGGTCATACATCCTTGGGTTTTGTAATGATGGCTTAAATATATCATTATAGATTCGAATAATTCGTAGATTTAAATTTATCCCATGTCGGCCTCGCTAAGCATGTGAGAGCATCGACATGTGGGCAATCAACTTCCAAATCTTTTCATCTAAAAATCTCATGTGAACTTTTTTTTTTTTTTTTTTGTATGTTAACATATTTATATCAAAGAGACGATTGCTAGTGCGCCTTCTTTGAAATTAGTAATTGCTGCTTTAGTACTATGCCGTGCAACCAACCACACACATCCACATGTGGGAAAAATATTTGAGAATTCTATTACTGAAACTTGATTACTCCGAACAACAAAATCTATAGATTCCTTGGTTATATCTTAATCTTAACAACAAATCAAAATGAAACTATTGAACTTAATATCTACTTTGCTAGGATTTTGAATTCCTCACTT